GGTAAACTGCCCCCATCAGGGCTCCAGGTCAGACTCCAAAACACTGTGGTCCAGAAGGCTCTCCCTCCAGCAATATCACCAGTTGCACAGGGTGCTGGAGTCTGCTCTCACCTCTCTCTCCATTGCTGGTGTACCTTCCAGTTCCCATCTGCCAGGATCCTGTGCGGTGTTTGCTTGTTGCTGCGCTCTGGCACCTTCCACAAGGACCCACACTGTCCCTCCTCCCAAATCTCTCCTGGGAATGCACTTTTTCCACTTTTCTTCTGCTCATTTCCCATCATCTAAAGCAGTATGTCTTTCCCCTATTCAGCCATCTTGAAATGCCTGGGATAATGCTTTTTTTAGGTTATCGGAAAACTGAATTGATGTTTCCCTTACCTTGCTATGTTATAGTAAAAGGAACATTGATAAAGATAGCTATGTACAAAGAAATTTATAGCATTACAAAATATTCAGTCACACTTGCAATTTAATATATATTTGCACACAATAATGGCATGATATCAAGGCTAGACTTGAAGCATTGCGTATTTGTTTTACCAATAGTAACTAATTCAAGTATCACAAAGGCTTTGCAAGTGAAGTGTTGTTATCCTTCTTTTGTTCATGAGAAAACTTAGTCTTGAGAAGGTACACACTTTGTAAGGGTCCCTCAGAGATCCCCTTTTTTTTAACCCAGCAGAATTTGTCACCCACAGTGAATTACGTATAAGTGTGAGATGATAACTTACAAGACAATTGAAGACACAAGCCCTTTAGAGAAACACTTTTGGTATCCCACACCTTGGGTCTGTCATTGTATTTTGGAAATAATAAAAAATTTAAAACATTTTAATGTAAGACTCTAAAATCAAAATATAGAGAACATTCTCATATATTCAGGGGCACTTGCTACCCTGAGTTCAGTTTTCCACCATTTATCATGGTGGCTTTTCTACAATGGTGTGACTTGTGTCATGGGTTCTCAAAACACAGCACAGAATTTTTGAATCCTCCCATGTATGTAACATTGCAGACATGCTCAGTAAGCCTCACTGGATTTAAAACCTGGTGATAGTTTTATTCCTAATAATATTAGTGGTGTCACACAAATGTTATTTCAGCTAATATTTAATATTTTAGAAATTACTTCCAAGTGACACCTGAGGAAGCACGGGAAGGAGATGTGAGAAAGTGAATATATTTTAACTAGTGTCTTATTTCAGACTTTAAGCCTCACAGGAGACAAGTTATTTGTTTATCTACACATGCTTTTCTTCTCTTTTCATTAATTTAATTTAATTCCATTTATATGTAACCTGAGAGTAGCATCCCCATGCAGTGTGCCCACTCCATTTGTAAACTGAATTGAAGTCATCATCCCTGCTTTAATGGCTGTGAAGGACTGAGAAATTAATAGCTCTCACTTGAATTAGTAAATTATATTTTTCCAAAGAGAGAAAAGTGCCTCATAAAAATAAGTGACTAGAGTCACTTTTATTTTATTTTTATAACAAGTCTTTTTTATGCTATAGTTTTAAACCTCCTTTTACAATAACATCTCACATTTATATAGTGCTTTATACTTTTCAGAGCACTGCAATGCACATTAGCCTGTTTTATCTTCACAACAACCTCCAGACTTAAGTAGAGAAGACATAAGAGAAGTCCTCTGCTACAGCCCAAAGAGCCCAGACATGAAATGACTTTCCACAAGTGCACCCAGATCCAGAAAAAAAATTTAAATCCATTTGGAAATACAAGAGACTCCAAAAAGCTAAAGAATTTAAACATACTTTGTGTCTAAAATTCACAAAACCTCATGAACATATGAATAAGGTGATGCTTACAAGTTATGACACACAGAAACACAGTTATGATTTTTTAAAACCTGCTATGTCCCAGGTACTCTATAACATGGTTGGGTTAAAACAATGGGGTGTATACAGGCCCCCAGTCTCCACTCTTGAGAGAAACTGTTTAACAACTCATAATACATTATCTTACAGGGAAAATATTGGATTCAGTGTGAATACACACACTGAAGTTATTAATTTTTCTTGAATTACTTAGGGGGACTTTTCAGAAGTGGGATGTTTTGTTGAGTTCTGTGTTGAATAAGAGACCGCCCAGGGAACCCTGGGAGCAGGCAATGCCAGGGTTAAAGGAGTTGACCCAAAGCAAGTATGCTATACCCAAAAAGCCTAGAAAACTTGAACCTTATGTTATGCTAAATTGTAAAAACACTAAAAAGAAAAAAAAAATTGAATTACTGAGGTCCAATTAAAGCACCCAAGTGTTATCAACACGTACAAGACATTTTATGTGTATAAATAGAAATTCACTCAAAATGACTTAGATCTCATGACTCAACACAACACAAATACACACACACACACACACACACACACATACCAAGGCAAAAGTCTCTTCTTCTGCTCAAAGATGTGAGGTGCTCTCTGGAGGACACAGGGACATCCCGACCGCCCAGAGGGCCTCAGGAGTCTACAGTCTCCTGCTCTCTTTCCCCTCAGCAGCCCTCAGTGTGTGGGGGCTTATCTCCCCTTCTGCATAGACTGTGTCCTGGGCCATGGCGGATGACGATGCCCCGCACTCCTGTGTGTGCACATCCTCTCAGCCTGAGTTCTCCACAAGGCAAATTTGTGCTGATTTAGGCTGCAACAGCCGCATGATCAGGATGGTATCAGGATTGGGGGGCCATTGTCCATGTTTATTTCCTGAGACACCTGCTGTGGGTGGATGGAGGCGGCATGCACTAGATCCAGTTGGCTAAAAGCTTGGGTGTTGAATCTAGGCAGTCAGTCTCCAAATCCCAGTTCTCACTTGCTTGTTAATGTCCTTGGGTGATTTCCTTCCTCCAGTGAGATCTTACAGTACACACCACCATTTTGCTCTGAAGAAACCGCCAGGGACAGAGAAATGCAACAGCTCGTTCTGTCCCTGCAAGGTCACAGCATGGAGTTGTAGTCTGGTTTTTGAGCACTTACTAACTAATTTTTTTCTAATGATAAAGAAATATATTTAAATACTGCATTTTCTTTTCTAAGTCTCTCTCTCCCCACCCCAACCTTTGCTGTCTAACAAGAATTTCTAACCAGGCCCTGGATTATTAATGCCAGAGCACTTAAGGGAAAAAACTGAGAAAGGGAAGTAGTGAGTGTTTACCTGTGAACACATAATGGCTTTGAAATTAAGTATATAATCAATTTTGTTGTATTAGCTTCTATTTACTTAAACCATTTTCCTCCAGTACATGTATTTGTGGTTCCACGTGGATCTTTCTGTGGAAAATAGCCTTTAGAATGTTTCTGGATGACCTAAATAGCAAATCCTTCCTAATTCCTTTCCTCTCCTCTGCTCCCAAAGACTGGCTCACTCTCAGATTCTGGATCATTCTGAAAAGCATCGAGGCCGGTTTTATAATATTATTTATCTTTATCGCTGAAAACCCAGCAGGTGAAGAAAAATGAAGACAATTTGGTAAATAATGGATGCAGAGATGACTTATTGTTTTTCTGCAATGAGAAATAAGCTCGGATTATTATGTGACCTTTCTTCAAGTGCCTGTCACGAACTCAGAAGTAATAAAGCTTTACTTGCAAAGAGTGACTGATTAAAAAAAGATATACACTTAAAATGTTGTGTCTCTTTATTAAGAGCAGATCTTCTATTTGTGTGTCCACAGAAATCATGATACATATAATCTTCCACCCAGAAAATCCATCGCTGTCCCCCACCGATTCACACATGTCCTTGATGATTGTATTTTTGGATATATTTAAGCTTAAAATGCATTAAAATAAGATGTTCCGTAACACATGCATGCTTTTCCTTCTTTAGGAAAGGCCATCTTGGATTTTGATCATGTTTCTCCTATAGGCCTTGAAGACAAAAAGATCTTTGATTTTTAAGATCCTTTAGAATCTGGAGCCAGGCTTTTATTTCTTTTAATAGGCGATCTTATTAGCTGGTTTTAATAGGATGTCTTACCAGCTTATTTTCCTATATCACTCCTGGAACTTCACCTTAATCAGAACATTTTGAGACTGTATGACTATGACTCAATACCTTAGACTGTGAATGCATATCACACGATGCAGTTGTAGTGCCAGTTCAATGGCATGACACTGAACTATTACAAGAGATTTTGCTTCTTTGACTTTCTTGCTGTTATAAAGTTTCAAGAATATTCATAAAGAAAAAAATGAGAAAGATTTACATGTATAAAAGGCTAATTGAGAGAAAAGGGAGAAGGAAAAAAAGGAAGGAAGGAAGGAAGGAAGGAGAGGGAGAGAGAAAGAAAGGGAGGGAGGGAGGGAGGGAGGAAGAGAGAGAGAGAGAAAGAAAGGGAGGGAGGGAGGGAGGAAGAGAGAGAGAGAGAAAGAAAGGGAGGGAGAGAGGGAGAGGGGGAGGGAGGGAGGAAGAAAGGGAGAGAGAGAGAGAGAGAAAGAGAGAAACACAGCGACATAGATTTTCCTTCCCCTGGTTCCTCTCCAGATGGCCACAACACCAAGGCTGAACCAAAGGCAGGAGCCAGCAGTTCCATCCTGACCTCCCACGTTGATGGCAGGGACCCAAGCATTTGCGCCGTCTTCAGCTGCCTTCCCAGGCACATCCGAGGGAGCTGGATCAGAAGCACAGTAACCAGAACCCAAACTGGTACTGCCATGGGATGCCAAGATAGCAAGTAGCAGCCCAACCTGCTGTCCAACAACACTGATCCCAACAAGATAATTTGTTTTAAAGGCATAAACATTTAATGAATGCTCTCTTTATTAGACAAAATCTTTATTTCCATAATTTAGATGAGAGTTCTTCTTGCCTGGAAAGTTCTTACTGAAGAACAGCAGTGCTTTTTCAAATAAAAGCTCAATTGATAAAATTAATGAAAACTGAGAAGTTGCAATCCAAGAAACAACAGCAGAATTTACCTGTGCCACGGGGACGTGACCTAGATAACATAAATGAGAATGTACTTTACAGAATACACTACTTAATTTTTTTTCTGGTCTATGGTCTATAATTAGCAGAATATTGAAGTATCTTCCCGCACAAGAAAGAATGTACCTGAGTTCAGAGGAACAAAATGACTGCTTGACCCAACACACACACACACACACACACACGCACAGATAATAGTATATTCTATCAATTTATAAATAGACCAGAAAAATGAAATGGATACACTTTGACTTTCATATACAATAATGTCATAAATCTTTAATTTTACTTGCAAGCTCATAAAATAAAAGAGAACAAAAATAAGGAAAACATAAGTGATTCTTTAAGAAAATAAATTTCATTGCAGGTGAATTTTGTTTTTGTATTTTGACACAACTCTTTGACTTTGGGTTTTGAAAGGTTTTCTAAGAAGCTGAATATTACTTATTTGATTTTTCATTGAAGAGAAAAAGAGAAGTACTAAAGAAAGAAGAAAAAATTCAAATAATGAAACCTTTTGGGAATCACTTGCTGTAGTTATTTTGTTTTTAATAAATACATGTTCCATGGCTTTTTCTTTTCCCTCTAAAATTAGCCCAGTGTGAAAAATCTTGCTGGGTTTCTTTAATAAGAGATAAATCACCTATATTCACTCAGAAGAAAGCTTACTTTGCACTTTATTCATAAACCAACATGAAATATTTTAAATAAATAAATCTTCTAGGACATCCTAGTAGCAACCAAAAAACAAAACAAAACAAAATCTTGTGTACTTATTTGGATATTACCAATTTGATGCACAATGATCTGCTGGTTTTCATTCCAGAAAACCCAACCAAAAATCTATTTGTGTATGTGTTTATGTTTGTGTGCAAGTACCCAAAAGAGAGGAGAAAGAAACAGAGGAGGAAGGAAGGAGAAAGTGAGACATGCACGCACACACACACACACACAGACTCATACAGAGAAAGAGAGAGAGAGACAGAGAGAGAGAATCTGTATAGTGTCTCTCGTGTGCACTTGGCATGCTGGTAACTTACTTGGTTAGTCTGATGACTGACAAGGTATGAAAGTCATATCAAACACAAGCAGAGAACAAAGGAATTTTCCAAAGCAAGCTGGGAATCAGAGATACAAAGGCTTATCCATTCTTGAGCCATCTAATCATAGAGTAGAAGGCTTTGGGTGATATATTTCAGACATGATATTTTAGGATATTGGGAAAATGATGAATTTAGTTTTGTAAAGTCTCTCAAAGCACAGTAACCATTATGTCTGCCAACAATAGTTTTGGAATACTTTCCCCAGGTCTGATGGAGACAAAAATCGATTTTAATGCAAAAATTTTAAAAATAATTTTTCAATCAGTACTATATTCTCTTCCTGAAGCTTTTTCTATCCCACTTTCTTAAGACATACAATGAACACACACACACACACACACAATTCTGATATCATGTAAATTCTGATAACCCAGAGAGGTACACATTTTCTTAAGCCTCTGCTTAATTCATTCTTTAAAAACTAAATGATTGTGACTTTCATATATGCATAACTGCATTTGAATCGTTGCTCATCTGTGTGTTCAACCCACAATAAGAAGCAATATTTACTAGAAGGAATTTAGAATGTAGATACTTAGGAGTTCCATAGTAGAGCAAATGAAATGTGCCCTGCACCTTTAATATGTAAATCTATGGAAGTCCAGCCCTCAGCATTGCGAGGGTCTCCCTGCTTATTACTCTATGACATTTCCACAGTGAAGGTGCAGGAGGGGCCCACATTAATTTGCTTGATGTTTGACTAGAGCGACTTCCCATAACTGTTAGAGCTCACTTTGGATCTACTTCATTTTAGAGTTGTTGTCAGTCATTTGAGAGTGATTTGTCCTGCAGCTGGGAAGAATAAACACATCATATATTAGGGAAAGCTTTGATGTATGGGGGTTGCTGAATGCCAACACCTCTTTCTGAGGATGGGGAAAATCAGAAAGTGGGAATGAGTTTAGGGAGGGAAGGGGTGCTACAGGCAAGGGCCCAGCAAGCCTTTTTGGACTGCTCCTGCTCCAGATAATGCCAGCAGCAGAGTATTATGTCACCGTTGCTTTGTTGTGTTTTGTGGCAGTTGTCTTGAAAGAGGAATGAGACTGGGGCATACCTTATTGTTCCTCTTTCTAATTATTAAGCGGTGAAATGAACAGAACGGTGAGACGCTGATATCATAAGTGGTGGAGGAACATTTCAATAGCAACTGCCCTGGAAGTGCCTTGGGGTCAGCATGTTAATCCTTCCACCTGGCCTGTTTAAACTCCAAAATGCTCCATTTTACAAGTTTGCAGGTAGACTTTTAAAAATGGTTTTTAATTAAAGAAAATTATTTGAGAGTCAGAGACAGAGAAAGCTCCTGCGGGCAGCTTCACTCCGCTGAATGCCTACAATGACTGCGACTGTCTCCTGCCGAAGCTGGCAGCTGAGAGCTCAGTGTAGCTCTCGCAGAAAGTGCCAGAGGTCCAGCTATTGGGAACATCACTGATACCTTCCAGGATCTATTTGAGTAAAAAGTCGGGGTCAGGAGTCAGAACTAGAGATGAGTGTTGAACGCAGTCACTCTGATGTGGGACATAGAGTCTTAATTGTCACACTAAGCATTTGCTCTTCAAATTCTGACTTTTAGAAAGTGAGAAAGAAGTATTTTCTTTCAGAAATTTCAAATATTTTCCCCTTCTAGAGATACAGAATGAATTTACAATTGGCCACCGTGATTTCAAGTCGAGAGGTCAATGGCTTACAGTGTTATTTAGGGAAAAGTTTCAAAATTGCAGAAAAAGGAGATCATCTCCAGAACACTGTGGTTTATTTTTCCATAGGCTCCACATCAATTTTCTCTGGCTCTTTGCACTTCATCGTGAAGCAGTTGTGTGACTGATCTGAACACAGGCACTTCTGCTAGATTTTCAAGCCAAGGTGCATGGTACTATTGGGAACTAATTATTCCACGATGCTTTAATGCCTTTGGGAGTCTTGAGAATCTGCCTCAAGCACGGTGGGCATATATTAAGAACTTGGCATTCTGCGAGTCAGGCATGCCCCAAGTGCTAATTGTGCTGAGGTCCTGTCTACCTTACACTGGGTCTGCGTATCCAGGAGTGGTCTCCTCCTCCTGTTCTGTCTTCTTGGTTTAGGAAAGACCGACTTGCCACTTTTTTTTCCCTTGTGAATGAATCAACAGAGTTCCATTTGTTAAAGAAAATATTTCTTTAGAAAATTACAAATTACAGATTAAAATCCCACATTCCTCCCCCTTAGGCCACAAACAAGAGTCTGTGGGAGGAAGCTGGCCTCCCTGGAGGGCTATCCCTTTTCTCTCTTGTTTGCTGGAAGATCCCAACATTTCACCTGCATTGAGTTCAAAGAAGCAAGGAAAGCAGAGCAGTTGAATTTAATGGAATGGTGATGATGATGATGATAGAAGAAGTGACGGTGGTAGCAGTGGTGGTGGTGGGGTGTGTGTGTGTGTACAAGGTAAATAAATGTGTGTGTGTCAAGTCAAGGGATACATATTTCTATAAAATTTTAATAATCCCAAAATACAGTAATTCACAATGGTGAAAATCATTAGTAGTTAACAATAAGTAAAGAGTAAAACAAAGCAGTTTCCTCCCTAGAAGAATGGTGAGGGGAGGAGAGTAGAGAACTCATGTTTGTGTTTAAATTCAAGTTTTAATGCAGATGTACCAAGACTAATGGTTTCTTTCCTTGAAGCTTTTAGTCTTGATTCACCTTGATTAATAAGTATATGAATATCATTATTAATTTTTAATGAAATTCTCCATGTTGAACAGGTAATCTTAAAATATCTGAAAAGATATGATTAAACTGCAAAGCTTAAAACATAGTGTATAAATGTTCATAACATTAATGGCAATCGTTAGCATTTACTTACTGTTTAGTCTATGCCAGCCACTGAGCTAAGGACTTGCATTGTATTTCATCACTCTTATGACCTAAGTGTAGTTACTTTTAGCAATATCTACTTAGTCATTTAGTTTTGGAAAGTTAGTCAAATAAAACAAAATGAAGATGTCCATGAATTGCTCTCCATACTGACATATTCTTATCAACATTGCCAATAAGGCTTTATCAGCCTCAGGCATGAGGCAAATCTATCTTATTAGTGTGAAAACTAATGAAAGATCATCCTGACAATGATAATTAATTGCAGTTGTTGACAAGGACTGAGTTCCTTTGCACTCCCTTTCTATGGCTCTTTCTCGGTCTTTCAGCCCTCTTCTCTCAATTAGACATATGAAAAGTGTGGCCCTCCCCTCTGAGAAAGAAGCTTTTAGATTAATCATATTATCTTAAGGTTCCAAATCTCCATGCCTGCGTGACCTTTCTTCCGTTAGAATCCATTATCTTAAACTATCACAATAATCCTGGCTTTAGGGAGGGAGAGAGGGAAGGGGAATCAAACCTAATAGATGGCAAATAAGATTAATCTATGATCTAAGTGCCGATTACACTTGGCCCTGCCCTTGAACACCCAGGTGTAACCTTGAAATTCACATCCGCTAAGAAGCAGCAATTGGATTGAGTGTCCCTCAAGGCCAGTGAGGGCAGCTGGCCAAACTTTACCCGTTGCTCCCCAGTGACTTGCTGAGCTGCCTCAACCTCCCATTCTTTTTACTTGTGGAATTTGGCAGCTGTGTGTTTTCATGTTTGTTTTGGGATAGTTCACATTTTTTAGATAAAATACTGATTTTGGATCCTTGATTTTTGTTTGTCAGAAGCACCAGCCCATAGAGGGAATGAACTTTTACCTGGACCTCACAAGAGGAAAGCAAATGATTCAGTGCCTCAAAATCTGATAGCTGCACCAAAATAAATTCAAGTCTTTGCTTCTTTCAAAACACTGACATTCTGATCCCTAAAGCCACATACGTTGAAGAACAACCAAAAGGAGAAAAAACTTTGCTCGCAACATTTGTCTTCTGAACATGGAGCTTATTATTTTTCTTCCACATGGCCTGAGGTCTTAGAAAGGACAACCTTTTGGTGAGATGGGACACGACACCGGGAAGTCCAAGCTACTGGTGACATGGATAGGAAACAGGACTGTGGTTAGAGAAAACAGTTCCAGGCAAGGAGAAATATCACTAGGTCAGATAAAGAGAAGGAAAACAAAACCATCATGCATTCTCATGAAATGTCGGCCCTATCTCTTGAAATTCAAAGTTGAACGGAGCGAATGCTTGTCATCATGACCTCAACATGTGTTAAAACCGTGGAAGACAGGATAAAATTAAATTCAAAATAAGAGAGGGAGAGTCAGTTCTAAACAAGAAAAAGAAAACAGACTCCAAAAATGTTAGCGGTAAAAACTTGAAGGGGAGAAACTATGACAACTTCCTCCGAGATGGAAGGCTAACCCAAATCACACAAGAGGCCAGGCAGGGGGCCACTCCCAAGCCACCGTCTCAGTTTCTCCTAACACTTTCTCAAGTGCAATTCTCTCTGAAAACAGAACCACTTTGTCAGTTTATTTTGTAAAGGATTTTGCAATGATTACTTTAAGAAACAAAGCAAAAAACAAACAAAAATCTCATCCATATGGAGAGCTATTCTGCAATCAACTTCATCACTTGATCCCTCAGATATTGAGAATAAATTTGATCTTAACAATCATCTGTATTTCCCCTTTTTGTCTTTCAAAAAGAAACTATTAAATAATTTTCTTAGTAGGTACAATAAAGATGATCTGCAATACAATTTTTCAGAGACTATCTTTTGGAAAATTATTTTGGAAGCTCATTTATCTGAAAGTGGAAGTTGATCCAGGATCCTGGAAGGATGTGGACTTGAGTCTTCAGCTTGCTGCTTGGTATCGCTGAGTCTCACTTTGTACAAAAGTGACATGAAAAGAACTGTCTCCCAGGCTTGCTGATTCAACAGCCACATGGATAAAAGTGTGTGAAAATCCCTGGCTGACAGTGTTGAATCCCAGCTTTGTTGCTTATTACCTGTGTGATGCGAGGAAATTGCATGACCTCTCTGTACTTGAATTTGCTCATGTTAGAGTGAAAAAACTAGTAGTGCTTTTGAGGAGGTTTGAATGATGTAAGAGAGGTACATTGCTTAGAAGATATTTACGGCCAGTGCTGCAGCTCAATAGGCGAATCCTCCACCTTCGGTGCCGGCACACCGGGGTCTAGTTCCGGTCAGGGAGCCGGATTCTGTCCGGGTTGCTCCTCTTCCTGTCCAGCTCTCTGCTGTGGCCTGGGAGTGCAGTGGAGGATGGCCCAAGTGCTTGGGCCCTGCACCCGCATAGGAGACCAGGAGAGGCACCTGGCTCCTGGCTTCAGATCAGTGTGGTGCGCCAGCCACAGCGCGCTGGCCGCAGCGGTCATTGGAGGGTGAACCAACGGTAAAGGAAGACCTTTCTGTCTCTCTCTCTCACTGTCCACTCAGCCTGCAAAAAAAAAAAAAAAAAAAAAAAAGATATTTACTAAGTACCACATGACCGTTTGCAGTTGTAGTCCTGGTGGTCATCATTTGAATTGCAGTAGGATGATACTGTTACCATATTTATACGAAATATATATTTATGCTGTGAGCTTGAGAACACTGCCAAATAGCAGTGCTGTTGATCTCATAGATTTTTGCAGGGACCACAGCTGAATCAACATCAAAGAGACGAAAGACTCTGGAAGCTGTGGTGAAAACACAAAGGATTCTTCGAAGCCTCTTTCTCCAATGTATCAGACGCTGGTCCTCTGGGTGTGGGAGCCCTCCTCTGCGGTCCAGGGAGGGTTCACTCACACCTCGGCAGGAGTCTCATGCCATTAAGTCCGCGAGAGTAATGAAATTTCATTTAATTTGTCAGGGAGAAAGTGCTAATGTTAAAAGGCATTTAATAAAAAAACGAGAGAGATTCTTTGAAAGGAGTCCTTAAGTAATTACTTCAAGTGTCTTAGGCCTACTCACCAGAATATTTACATAAATGTCTTCCAGTGCCAGTGTGTAATTAAATTAGTGTCACATTCACATTCCCAGTCCCTCTACCTTTATTTTTTCCTTTAAGGAAGTGGGATTTTATTAATAATCCTTCCTTAAAAAAAAAGTGAGGATGACTTGGTCTAATCAAATCAGATGTTAGTGTTTTTCAGAATGTTCTTGCCCAGTTAAAGCAGTGTGTGTGCATGTGTACGTGTGTGTGTATGTGTGTGTGTGTGTTGGGGAGAAGGGCTGGGCTGGCTCCAGGGTAGAGTGGCTGTGTTTTCTTCTTCTCTCCACTTGGAAAAAATGCCATTGTTGAGTTGCTAGAGAGAGCAGACCAGCAGCCATGGCCATCAGCATATTACAGTGGGTACCCTGTCTCACCTGGGTTCTCTTTTCCATTTGTTTGGAGGACAGGTGACAGGAAGGACTGAGGAGATCAGAAACGCAGGCTCAGCCCCTCTTACTCAGTGTGCAGGGAGTTCAGTGAGATCAAAGAGAACCACAGTGCTGAGCAGGGTGGGCCCCCTGTGGGGCCATGCCTGGATGCTTGCACTACTAAAGGCCAGTCACACTTAAACAAGGATCCTGAAACATTTCTCTGGAAGGGACCTGTAGCTACTTTCCAAACTGATTTATAAAAGCATCTCATGAGTGAGTGTGTACACTACCACGTCAGTGTTTTACCTTGCAAGGACTGTCTTCCCAGGTGCAATGAGGGTGCTGTGGCAAAGAATGTAGGTGGAGGAGTTGAACACAAAAATAAAATTATATAAAAGAAAACGTAATTATAAATATATCTCATATAGTTGAATTGAAAATTCAAGTAGCTCAGGCTATCAGAAAATTTTGTGAACTATTAATTGCTGGTAATTCTCACAATTATTGGAATTGCAGCAGAAGGGACATTTCTAAATTTCTAAATTCTGATTATGTCACTCTCTGACCTGGGCAGGTTCAGCCCTCCTTAGGCAACCTCGTGGCCCTGCTCCCGTGAGGTCACCATGTTGATGCTGACCATCATGCACACACCAGGTCTGCATAGTGCATGACAGCTCAGAACTCCTGGACTCAAGCGATCCTCCAGCCTCAGCCTCCTGAGTAGCTGGAACTACAGGCATGTACCACTGTGCCCGGCAATGTCACTCTCTTTACTGTTACTGAGTGACTTTCTACAGCCCTCAGTAAAAGCCCAAAGTTTTCAATAAGTCAACCATTGCCTCTGCTAATTCCAAAAAGTCTCATTCTTCATGTATCTGTTCTGCTCTCAAAATATCAGGTCTTTAATATGTAGGAATTCCCCGATCCCTGTATCAAGGCATGCGTTTTTCCCTTTGTCTAGAGTGGTGCTGACCAACACATTAGTCACTAGGCTCTTGTGGTTGTTTCAATTTTTTTTTTAAAAATATTTATTTTTTTTATTTGAAAGACAGAGTTACAGAAAGAGGTAGAGACACAGAGAGAGATAGAGAGATCTTCCATCCGCTGTCCCACTCTGCAGATAGCCTCAACAGCAGGAGTTGTGCCAATCCAAAGCCAGGAGCTTCCTGTGGGTCTCCCACGTGGGTGCAGGGGCCATCCTCCTGGCCATCCTCCACTGCTATCTCAGGCCACAGTAGAGAGCTGGATTGGAAGAGGAGCAGTCAGGACTAGAACCGGTGCCCATATGGGATGCCGGCGCTTCAGGCCAGGGCTTTAACCCACTGCGCCACAGCACCGGCCCCTGCTGTTTCAATTTTTAAAAATCAAAATTAAACAACACTAAACACTTACTTCCTCTTATATATCAGCAATATTTCAAGCACTTAAAAGCTGGGTGTGGCTTGGGGCCACCATCATTGGCATTATGGTTCTAGGCTACTCCATTGCTGAGTAGATTTTTAACTGTGCACTGCAGGTCCACAGCAATCTTCTCTACGCTTGTATTTCATTATTAACTTTTCAACTTGGGTATCACATCCACAGAGAAGTTTTTCCTTTCTTGCTCCATGCCTTCAAAGAGAGTGAGACTGTCGTTTTTAGCAACTGATCTCACTTAATACACGATTGAGTATTCTTTATCTCACAGAGTCCGTGAGTGAGTACGATTTGGTATCCCAATACTGCAAATGAATACTCTAAGGCACAGAGAGGTTAAGTCAGCAGACCGGATCTTCTGGATACCCAGAGGAGGTGGGGCAGGCAGGATCAGGCTGCCTGCCACAGGCTCACCCTCGGAACCTCTCTGTCCTTGGCACTCACATAAGATTTGTTGAAAGAATGTAGGAGTACCCACGAACAGGCATTAAAGTAGGCTTTCATAACATCACTGTTTCAAAATTGCACTGATTTTCCCACCAGCCTGATTAGACAAACTATTGTTTTCTTTTAATAATTGTTTTATGCTCTCTCCTTTCGGTTTTGCAAAGTGAATAAAGAAGGCATATTATATCCACTCTACAATTCAGAAACCTGAAGTTTAGGGAATGTAAGCAGGATGAAAGACGCCTGGGTTAATACCAAAAAGTCAAAGTAAGACAGCTTTGGCGAGTGCTCCTGAGACGTGATGCGTGGATATAGCGGATCCAAGTCGTTGACTGATTTTCCTCGGGTGTCGTGCCTTCGTGTCCTCAGTGCCCATGTCATATTAATTAATATTATCATTTCTTTCTTATAACTGCATGTGTTACTGTTGTTTTAGCATAAAATGCCTTGTGTTTAAGAAATCTATAAATAGGTCCCAATCAGACAGTAAGCCACATGACTACTGTATCACCACAGCTATTAATACACCAAGATTGTGTTATGCTCACAGATCATTATCATTATTATTGTTTCAGCTGGAATGTGGATCCCACAAGGTTATTTTTAAAGCAAATTTATTTGATATATAATTTTGTTGAAGTGGGATTCTCATTTAACTGGACTCGAAAGTATATCTTTCTACAGTGCCCAAATACATCAGCAAATACAAAACGGAGCGTTACTGAATTCCTAGTGAGAGAGTATCCCATTTTTTTAATAAAGCAAAACATCGACTTGGGAAACTTGTGTTCTGAATTTTACACACCAAAAAGCAGTTACGCTTTTGAAGGCTTACTATCAAACAAGTGATATTTCGTGAACTTTACCTGCCTTGGTCTATTTATTCTTGGCAAAAAAAAAAAAAAAATCTATAGGATGATCATCCTCATCTCACAGATGACAAAACCGAGGAAAACAGCCGTAATAATTGCCTGAATCAAACAGCCAGTGAGGGCCTGAGCTGAGATTTGCAAGGACGCAATCTAGTCCCAGGGACTAATTTCTTAATTGCTGTCTTCATTGCCTCCCCAGCAGTAGATGCAGGCACATACACACCCTAAAGGACTTTGGAGTGGCTTTTCCCCAAAATCATGACTTAGAAAACTCTCTCATGTTTTCCTCTGAGAATGACATCTAAGTTTAAAATGCAACTTGATTGTCAACTCAGATTTTAAAAGACAAAAACTGGTGTCAATGTCTAAATAGGAAAATAAAAGAAAGGATTTCTGCAAACATTAAGATTTTAATTTGATTAAAGAATTTACCTCAGGCCGACACTATGGGGTAGCGGTAAAGCCACCGCCTATAACGCCGGCATCCCATATCGGCTCCAGTTCTAGTCCCAGCTGCTCCACTTCCAATCCAACTCCATGCTAATGTGCTTGGGAAAGCAGTGGGTGATGGCAAAAGTCTTTGAGTCCCTGCACCCTCAGGGAGACTGAGAAGAAGCTCCGGGTTCCTGGCTTTGGATTGGCTCAACTCTGGCTGTTGTGGCTATTTGGGGTATGAACCACTGGATGGAAGACATCTCTCTCTCTCTCTCTCTCTCTCTCTCTCTCTCTGTCTCTCCCTCCTTCCCTCTCTGCCTCTGCCTCTCTATAACTCTGTCTTTCAAATAAATAAATAAATCTTAAAAAATGAATTCAACTTGTTAGGTAAAGAAAAATACCAGGGAACAAATATGTAATGATCCATTTTATATGTCTCCTTTCATACTTTCCAATATAATATCACTTTAATTACATAGGAGCAGAAAGTCTTGGTTGATATTTAGAGAATTTTACTAAGCTAGTGCTACTAATTTTTAAAGAATCTTGTCGGTCTTACTACTAATACTTGTCCATATGAAGCTAAATTTACCTTTCTTTTCCCCAACACACAGAAAAGAAAAACAGTAAAAATATGTTCACAATATCCTATTAGCAAGAGATTCAATCAAAATCCTGAAGTAATTTTTCTCCCAATCGTAACGTGTCACTAACGACATTTCACAAATCTATGGACTGCATTCTTTCTCAAGAGCGGTCTGTAAAGAGTGTGCAATTGTTCATTCTAGGGTTTGGCATCTAAGTTACTTAGCAGGATTGACTGAAGATCCAATCTGATCAGATCCTTTGTAATCTGTCTTTTAGATGAGAAAGACCGGAAGCTACCGAAAAAGTCAATTCCAGTGAAAGGAAAACACGTCTC